ATAAATGTCACCAGAGGAATACAGGTTACTGCACAGGTTTTAATTTCCAGAAATATTTTTTAAATTTGGTACTTGCTAATATCTCTAACAAATTGGGTGTTCATTAGTATAATTGTCACTAGTTCCCAGACCTAAAATTCCATGTACCCTGTAAAATCTACAAACAGGGAACACAGTCTATGTTTAGTTCTTTTGATTAGAAAGGAGACTAATACTATATTAAATCAGACCATAGTGTGGTAGCAACTAGGAAATAACTGCTTTTTTGTTGTTGTTGCTATTCAGATTATATCTAAATTGTTGTTTAATTCTTGGTAGCACATATATAGTAGGAATTTGTCTGCTGGCAGGTAGGGAAAAGAGGGAAGAATAGTGGAATATGAAATGAATATTTATAGATTACCTATATGTACCAGGTATATTGATAGAAACTTCATATTTAGCAAATCATTTTACTTTAATGACAAACTTTAGGAGAGGTATTATTATCTTCATTTTGCAAATCAGGAAATGAAGACCCAGAGAGAATAAGAGACAGGCTCAATGTAACCCAACTAGTATTTGATATGGCAGAGGTAGAACCTAAGTGGATCTGACTCCTAAGACCATGCCTATCCTCTAATTTAAATGACATAGTATGTGCCAGTGGGCACAGATTTAATTTCAACTTTCTGGCCTTGTAGGTCCTAGGGACATTGCTTTACATTTATAATTTCCTGAGAAGATATCATTGGGCTCATATCATAGCCCTGCTTGAGCATAATACATACCTCATAGAGTTTTTGTATGGATTAGATGAGTTATTACATAAAACTAATTAGAATAAAGTCTACACATAATAAGTACTCACTAAATGTTACTTATTACTTAAGAGTTCAAGTAATGACTAACCCCTGTACCTTAGGAAGACTAGTTGTAGAAACTTGGGTATTTGTAGCCTGGGCAGATTAAGAAGATGCAAGTGACCAGGTCAGGGTCATAAGATCGAGCCCCGTGTTGGGCTCCACGCTCAGCATGGAGTCTGCTTGAGTTTCTCTCTCCCTCTCCCTCTGCCCTTCCCATTCATTCATTCTCTCTCTCTCTCAAATAAATAAATAAATCTTTAAAAAAAAAAAAAAAGATGCAAGTGACACCTTTCCCGTAAAATAGGGAATAGACTTAATCAGTGTTGCTACGAGGCAACATGAGGACTAATTGGTAAGAGTTCAAGTAGGCTGATTTTGATTATAAGTGAACAAAATTTTCTCTAATTATATCAACTGTCAAGGGAATAAGCCACTTAGGGTATAGTGAATCCTCTGTTCTGGATCTAATTTATATACCACCATAGATCACTGAGGACCCCTTCTAGGCCACCCCCTACCTCCAAGCCTGGGCCACTTGTCTTGCTCCTAATCTAAATCTAAATCTAAATGGAAAGTTAACACTCCTGAAACAGCATTTTACCAATGAGAGAATAGAAAATGAGAAGACACCAACAGGTGAACTGCTAACCTCCTTTAACCAACTCTTCCAAATTACAGTTGTTTCATTTATCATATCTGGAGACCAGGACTGATTACATGATTAGTAGGGCCTAATGAAAACTGAAAATGTGGGGCTTCATTTAAAATAAGAATTTCAAAATGGTGACAACAAAGCATTAAATAAAGTGTAGGACCCTTCTAAGCATGGAGTGATTACACAGGTCACATGCCCATGAAGTTGGCCCTGATGGAGACAACCTGGGACTCTAAGCGACCACCTGTAATTTTTGTAAAGCTATGGCCAGTTCAGTAACTTACTCTCTTGTATTCACTTTCTTCCTTTTTCCTTCATGCCCATTTCCCTCTGATTATACCCCACCTTCACCCCTAATAAGGCAAGCTTTGTTTTAGGTTTTATTTTCTAGGAATGTAGACCATGACACTGTATAACCTGATTTTTTAAAATTTGAGAGGCTAGTCCAAATCCCTTTTAATGTTACTTCTAAGTCTAAGATACTGTAATTCCATTGATTGAAGGATATACATTTTAAATAATTGTGTTGTTCATTTAATGCAACCATGAAATTGCATGTGAGCTAGAATCCTTGGATTATTAATCTCCAATATTTTATTTTCTTTTCTTTAGGCATAATATTACTAATTTATTAGAGGGGAAGACAAAAGAGCTTAACAAAGGTGTCCCTTCCCTTCCTTTTCCCAGTTCCTTACTTTCCTGTTTGTCTAAGCATCTCCTGCAACCCTGCCACCTTTACATATTATTAGACTTACTTCAACTTCCTGCTTCTTTTCCAAACTCACTGGTAATTGATATGGTAACTTCCAATCATTATGATTGTGTCTAACCTCTGTATGCACATTCATTTATGGAAATAGGCATAAATTTGACATATGAGTGAAATCATATGGTATTTGTCTTTCTCTGACTGACTTATTTCGCTTAGCATAATTCTTCCTAGCTCCATTCATGTTGTTGCAAATGGCAAGATTTCATTCTTTTTTATGGCTGAGTAATAGTCTGTGTGTGTGTGTGTATGTGTGTGTGTGTATCTTTTTTCTTCTCAAATCTAGGGTTAGGGTGTTAGGGTTATGGCCAGGGTTAGTGTTAGGGCCAGAAAACAAAACAAACAAGCAAAAAGAAGAAAGAAACAAACAAAGCCAGAAACAAGACTCTTAACTAGAGAGAACAAACTGATGGTCACTGGAGGGGAGGTGGGTGGGGCAATGGGTTAAATAGATGATGGGGATTAAGGGATGCACTTGTGGTGAGAAGCACCAGGTGTTTTATCAAAGTGTGGAATGACTATATTGTACACCTGAAAATAACATTACACTGTATGTTAGCTAACTGGAATTTAGATAAAAACTTATTTAAAAAAAGAAACTGAAAAAAAGTAGGCATAAATTTAAATCTGAACCAAGACTTTTTGAAATATGCATATTCATCCATTTATTGAGTATTATGTTTGACAAATACAGAAGGGAAAGCAAAGTATTAGATACAGATCTTACCATTATGTAGCTTGAGATTTTATAATGGAGGCTCTGTGTTTATGTGCACAAAACAAAAATTATTATCAAAGTGGAAGGTGATATGTGGAAGATCACTTGAACAAACAGAAGTGCCTATAAATGGTAGAGAATTTGGACTAGAATTCTGGAGGGACTTATAGAGGATTTAGGATTTGACATGTGAAATTGAGGAGGACAGATGTCTGGCACATATTGCTTTATTCAGAATTCAACTTGATTAAAAATATCGTCTCTTGTTTTTTTGAGATATCTAGACTTTTGTGTGCATAGCACTTGATTAGGCTGTTTCTGTACTGAACAATCAGAAGATGAATCATTGTCACCATCCCATTTTTACTACTGGAATTACTATTTCTTCTAGTGGGGGGATTATTATAAATCTGGCCTTTGGGCACATTTTGTTTATTACAGAACATTATCATGAGTTTATTTCTTTTATGTAACCTAAATGACATAACTAACTTGTGAATTTCATACCTTCAATTTTCAACCAAGCACATGGGGAAGAACAAACCTTTTGAATAATTATTGAGACTCTAGTAGAAAAATCCAAGTGAAAAAATTCAGTTTTAAAGTAAGAGAAAATGATTTCCTCCACAGCAAACTCATCCTTTAAATAAAGCAAGCAATGATTATCGAACCATTAGTAAATTTTTGGCAAGACAAAACTCAGACTTCTCTGATAAAGAATAATTTCCAAGCTTGTCAGAGATAAACAAGTGGAACTTAATTGGAAAGAGTTATTTGAATTGACAGATTAATAGAAAAAAATTGTCTTTAGTGTTGGTGTTTGATTTTCAGTCTCTTGAACTTCCATGTATATTTAAGGCAATTTCTCCTTCTTGAGTTATAAAGGTATGGGTGTCAGTGTGATGAATTTGTGTCAGAAGAGTTTGGCTGAAATTTGCCAGGAGGTTGATTTTGTCAGTCTCTTGAATTTTTCATTGCAATTCTGATATGCCTCTGAATGAGACCAAAATTTACTTTAAAAAAAAGAGCTGTAATATTACCCTATTTCTGTTTCACAGTACTTTAATGAAAAGAACAGTGTTTCAGAGCCTTGATTTAAAAACCAATGTCACAGTCTAACCTATTAAATTCTAATACTTAACCGTGTCTTTTCAACTAGAACTCTGCCAAATGCATTGATATTGATAGAAGTGTCTTCATTTGTAATTGGCAGTCATTCAATAATAGCATATCTATAAAATAGTATACGTTTAAAAAGTAACTCTGTGAAGAGAGGGCATCATAAGAGATGGGGAAAATGTGTATGTATTTAGGAGCAGTTTGAATACTATATTTAAAATTATTGGTTGTCAATGAGGAGAGAAAAAAGTACAGATAACGTTAGGGGTAATTAAAGCAATTAATGATAGTGTTTGAGGGCACTCTGAAGCTTTGTGGGTATGTATATGCATATGTATTCTCTGGGGTTTTGCTCTAAATTCTCTTTATGTATCAACAGTAATTTTTCACATCTCTATACATATGAAAAGTACTAAAGACAAGAACTTTTATCATAGATGTTGTTTTATAAAAATCATGATGTTTCAACAAAAGAATATTTGAACCCTTTTTATAATTTACCTCTATATCATTTATATAGCTAAGAACATGCATCAATAAAGTAAGATCTCTTTGAAACTTAGTTTCTCTTTAATCTTCAAATTAGACTTTAAAGAATGAAGTATTAGGAATTCCATCAATAAATTTAAATAGAAATGGCTTCATTTGAACTAATGGCTGAATAAAATGGTGACATTTTCATATTAAACATGATGATTTGGTATATTATATTACACATTTTCACTTATTTCATAGAGAGTAGAATTTTTATGAGCAGTAATTCAGAAAAATGTGAGTTGACATCATGGAACTATTCTGCACATTAGAAAATACTTTAAATGATACTGGTTTTTTTTAGTTGTTTTATGGAATATTTGGTAAAATACTCTAAACACTTTGCACATTGTTCTTTAGTTTCAGCTCAAATTCTCAAGAGCAACCTTACAGCAATGGAACAGCAAATTATTAATCTGGAACGTGACATCAAGAAATTCCCCGAAACAGAAAATCAACATGATAAGTTTGTGGAGAAGATGACAATATCCTTTATTTATTTAAGCATTTTGTTTATTAGTTTCTCCCTCTCTCTCTCTCTCTGCTTGTCTGTGTGTGTGTGTGTGTGTGTGTGTGTGTGTGTGTGCGTGTGCATGGGCGCATGTGTGTATTTACTGTGTGGTTAGTTCTAAACTTACCAGTCTGTCTATTCAGGCTGTCTGGATGAATTTGTGTATGGGCTGTTTTTGTATCAGCAGCATAAATTTTAGTTCACAGTGTTTGGAACCAGGTAAAGTAGGCAAGGAAACAATTATATAAGAAAAAAATGCCATTTATCAAAGAAGCATTTCATTTGAAGGCCCACTAGATACACAAGGTAAGTCTTATAAGGCTTGATTAGATCCAAAACGAAACAAAGTATCCCCTTATATAACCAGTTGTTTAAAGGAAATGATCACCGTAAGATTTTTTGGTCAGAGACTTTTTTTTCTCTTTGCATGTGTACAGGTATTTCCTGAGGGTACACATGCATATTCAAGGGAATCAGAGGATGACTAATATCAGTAGATTGAAAGGATTGGGAAGGATAGGTAAAATGGATGCTGGATGGAGGGATAGATGAATTGATCAGTAGATTATGTATTTCAATAAATTATAGAAGCTGTCTATATAACATTAAGCATTCCTTCTAAATAGATGTTTTTAAACCCCTATTTTATCTACAGTATATTCATATAAAATATAGAAATATATGAAAGAAGAACTTGAGAAATAACATTTAGCTTGAATTATTTAATGTTAAATCTGGCATCTAAAAGATAAACTACATTAGAGCTGGATTTTTTTTTTTTTCTATTTTGGTTTTCAAAAGTTAAAGTCATATCCTCCTCCTCTAGGTGTAAATAAATATCTTGAACTGATTGATCACCATTTTATATCTCTAGAGGGAATAATACTGTAAATACTTTATCTGATAATAAGTAAATTCTTTCAACAACTATATGGCAGTCACCTTGTTTCAAGGTTAAATCTATTGCCTTTTTCTTCTGTGATATGCTTACTTTCCTGCTAAACTTAGAAATTATGGTACTGAACTCAAATTACTTGAGAATGGCAATTTAGATGTATGTGAAAAATGTTTTTTCATTCTAAGGCTTTGGGTTCATGAATTAATACTGTGTTTTATGTGGTCTGATAGTGATGCTGAGTACTTTAATAAATAGGAATACTGGAAACAGAAGTTTGTGGGTGACTGGAGGCAGGAAATCCTCAAAAATAACCTTGGATTATGTAACTTCCCACATCGGGATACTTAATGTGAAGATTTAACTTTATTGCTTTATTTAACTGTATTGCTTTATTAGATTTTTCTTACAAATATGTCATATTGTCCTGTGGCTGGAAACACCACCTACATCTTTCAGCTTTTGATTTTGGTTCTTGCCTCATATATTTGAATTTAATTCCCAAACCTCTTGTTCTTTTTAACATTTTCTTCTTCGATTGGCTTATGGCCACACAACAGCTTGCAACACTGAGGAGGCTTTGTTGCTCATTTAGAAAAAAAAGTAATTTCAAACCTTCATGAACTTGGCCTAGACTCTTTATTTTATTTCTGTCTTTATTCAGGTAATTAAGCACTTTAAAATGAAAATCCAGAGCCTTCTGTATCCGTATGTTACAGATGAATGGTTATTCTTCATTTAAGTGGCACAAAAGTGTGACTATTTGTCCACAGGAGATTGCAAACTATATTAAAATGTATGGGGCTCTTACTTTGCATATCATATTTTTTTAAAAAACAAAATAAAATATACAGCAATTTATTTTAGGTAAAAAGTTTAGAATATTGAGTTGAGTTGGTTAAAAACTCCAAGTTAATGAATTATAATGATAGAACTGTTGCTCAAATTATTCTTGCTTTGGAAGACTCCGTAGGCACCCATTGAGAGTTTTAATCTTCTAGAAAATTACAAACAAAATACATGATCTTCATATGTATATATGTCATATGAATTCTGGTGCCTAATTAGTATTTTTCTACTCTTCTGGCACTTCCATAAAAGAAGGATATTTTAAAGTGGAATACTTGATTATGTTTTAAAATTAGAACCCCGATTCTATTTTTCATACAGGATTCTTTGTAGTGGATGATTTTTCCGATGTTTCTGCCCCCTGCCAGTAATTTGTTTTGCCTCAGGTCACTGAACTTTAAACTGAGCACTACAGGCACAAGTATGGGAGTGGTTTCCCTTAAAAGTAATCTTACCTACTTAAAGAGTAATCTCTCTTATAAGGACTGTGAGTTCAAAAACTGAATAGCACTGTCATGCCTCTAGGTTTTCAGAATAGCACCAGTACTATAGTTAGCAACAATGGCATGATGGCTGGGGACCAACTGAATATGCAGGTTGAATCTTCACCACATCTCCAGATTGAGCTAAGTCCCATAGCACCTTATGTCCACCCTTACTCTTTCACAATATTGATCGAACACTTAAAATGTGCTAGGCATTGCCAGACCATGAAAATATGATATCGCACAAGATGGAAAACTTGACCTCAGGTTACTGACAGTCTGGCATTTACATGCTTCTCTGTCTTGCTGTCTCCATGGTCAAGATAATATATGGTGTGTTAATTTCTATATGCCCATCACAACGTGTAGCATTTAGCAACATGTAGGCACTCAGTAGGTACATTTTGAATCACAGAATATAGCTAGAGACAATGAAGACCATATAGACCCAACTCCTACTTTTAATTAGCACTTCCAAAGGGATATTGGTGAACAGCAGTAGGCTGTGCTTGTGGTTATTAAACTTTTCTTCATATAAATCTTCTCAGGGGGACACCTGGGTGGCTCAGTTGGTTAAGCACCTGCCTTTGGCTCAGGTCATGGTCCCAGGATCCTGGAACCTGCTTCTCCCTCTGCCTGCCATTCCCCCTGCTGTCCTCTCTCTCTCTCTTTCTCTCTCTGACAAATAAATAAATAAAATCTTCTAAAAAATCTCAGGAACTTAAATAACATTAAATCACCTTTTTAGAGCATGCATGTAAAATATAATCAGATTTAAAAGGGATAATCCAGACCTTTTTAAAGGAAATGTCAAAAAAGAAAAACTGACCTAGGAGGTTAAAAAAAAAGAATAAAACCTGTCCTATGAATGGATTGGCTCAGGCTATTTCCTGCATCCTGAAAAATAGCCAGTGGCTTTGGAAGGAACCTTATCACCTCTGTCTCCCTTTCTCTATCCAAAATTGGTTGCTGTTCTTCCTCAAAAAAACAGATGGAAAGAGTAAGCAAAACTAATTTTAGAAGACTACAAAACAGGGAGAAATGGGGGAAATTGTCTTATAAATCATGGTAAGAGTCAGTAGGGAGGTTCTAGGATCAAAGGGGATGATCTATAATGGATATAATAGCACTATATATGTATAGAAATGCACATTGTTCAAAAATCTAAATAACCATGTGGGGAAGTTATTGCTATTATCCTGATTTTTTAAAATTTTTTTAAGGATTTTATTTATTTATTTGACAGAGAGACACAGCGAGAGAGGGAACACAAGCAGGGGGAGTGGGAGAGGGAGAAGCAGGCTTCCCCCTGAGCAGGGAGCCCGATATGGGGCTCGATCCCAGGACCCAGGGGTCATGACCTGAGCCCAAGACAGACGTTTAACGACTGAGCCACTCAGGCGCCCCTATCCTGATTTTTTTAAAAAGCAAAGTTCTTGGTATTCTTCATGTGCTTATGCTCATAATAGTATTGGAAGTTTTAGTTCAGTTGTGTGGTGAATTAAAATAGAACCTATATTCTTTTTTTAGTAAGTTTAAAAATGGTAATATTCACTCTCATTTATTGAATGTTTCCTCTGGATTAGACATTGCCTAATTTTACATACTTGAAGTTTTAAAAGATGTTCTTGTTTATTAAATGAGGAGTATTTTACATATCTAAATGCTAAAATTGACCACCATTATGCCTGTTTCATTGTAGTGAGCTCAAATCATGTCAGGATAACTTCAACAACCATGAAGTCATTTGTAATAGCCCTGTTGTTTTTAACTCATTAATTTCTAGAGGTTTCTCTTTTTCTCTTTTAAGATTACTAGGAATTATGTATTCTATGTTTGTGTTTGGTTCCTGTTGCAAATAATGGTGGGGTGAGGTTCAGAATCACACCTGAAATCACATTTTCAGTTTTGAGAAATAGCCCATACTAAAGAGAGGTGAGAGGGAACACTGTGAATGGACTGCTAACTAAAAGCCCATTAACCACAATGTTGACCTTACTTCTTATATCCTGTTGACAAATTTCTTACCACAGTTACTCACATAGATTTTGTCAGTGGCAGGGCTGTCTATTGTCCAAGATCAGCTTAGCTTTTTGTTTGACTGCTGGCTAAATCATTTTACCAACTGGAGGACAGGGAATGACTCAGCAGCAGGGGCACCTTTAACACATTGACAAGAAGAGCTGACAGAATGCTAATGACATTAACACCCTGTCAACTATCAACTCCTGGAATTTCCTCATAGTAGGAAGGAAAGTCATTTGAAGTGGTTAAAAATCAAGTTACTGAGGAAGCACACTGTCCTTACCAGACAATTCAAAACAGATTTGGGGTCTGCACTGCACTTCAATTGTGTTAAATTTTATTCCACTTTCTTTAGTAAGAGAATTTTTTTAAAGATGAAAAAAACAGTTATTATTCAACCACAGTAACATTAATCACATTTGAAAACATGCCATTAGGGTGCCTGGGTGGCTCAGTCGTTAAGCATCTGCCTTCGGCTCAGGTCATGATCTTGGGGTCCTGAGATCGAGCCCCACACTGGGCTCCCTGCTTGGCGGGAAGCCTGCTTCTCCCTCTCCCACTCCCCTTGCTTGTGTTCCCTCTCTCGCTGTGTCTCTCTCTGTCAAATAAATAAATAAAATCCTAAAAAAAAAGAAAGAAAACACGCCATTAACAGGTTTTAGTGAGATAATGATTCACACTTTGTAAAATAAATGCCATGTAATAAAGAAAACAAAAACA